CCAGGCCAGCGCTCCTGGAGACCAGACAGAAGGCTAGGTGAGGCCGAGGCCTGGCCTTTCAGAAACAGGGTGCCTGGGAATCATCACTCCTTGTGCCTAGAATCACTCCCGCCCACTGGGACGACACCCCACCGGGACCCTGGGCTCCTCACCAACTCGTGCCGTGTGGCCTTCCAGCATGGAGAGCTTCTTCCCCGCAGCTGCGTCCCAGATCTGCACAAAGCCCTTGTGCGTGCCGACGGCCACCAGGTTTCCCTAGGACCAGGCCCCGGGGAGAGCAGGCATCAGGCCCAGCCTCCCAGGGCCTCCCCTCCCTGCTCCTCACATGTCCCTTCTGATCAAGTGACACCCACCTTGTCCTGGAACTTACTGGGGAGATGATTACACAACACATGGGTTTGTCAAAATCAGCCAACGCACATGTGAGACCCATGCACTTCAATGCGTGAACTTGCCTGCCTGAGCCTGGCCTGCCCCTGGCTGGGGTGAAGGCTGGGGCTCTGAAGGGACTGCGCTCAACGCTATGTCTGTGGGGGGACCTGCCAGCAGCCCTGTCACTGTCACAGTCTCTGCCGGGCTGGGAACAGGCGGGATGCAGACATCACTCTGGGTCCCCCAGGCCCCCAAACACTGCCGAGGACCCCTGCCAGCAAGGCCCAGTCAGACCTCCCCTGCCCAGCCCAGGAATGAACCCTGTATACTAACCCGCTCAGACCAGCCCACGGAAGTCACCGAGTCCCCTTCCACAGAGAGGTCACAGAGCCGGGTCACCTGGGGGAAGGAGGGAGCGGTCGGTGTGAGCTGACGTGCTGCCCGCTGATCCTTCAAGGCCCCCTGTCCATTCGTTCATGCATCCATCTGTTTATTCATTCAGTCACACCTCAGGCCTATGGGCACTGGTGTTAATGCTGGGACCTGAGATAATGGTGCTGGGGTGCCCAGGAGACTGCAGGCTGCAAGGGGACACATGCAGCACAGGGATGAGTGACTGGAAAGTCTGGGGAGGAATGCTGGGGAGGTGACGGGCATCACACACCTGGGGTGCTTCCAACAGGTGGCAGCCCTCTCTAGGGGGCATCACCACTTGCATTAATCTCTGAAAACGTCCCACCCTGGCAGGCGTGTCTGAGCCCATGGTGGGCCTAGCAGCACCTCAGAGTTAGTGCTGAGGGTGGGGTGGGCAGCCCCCGGGCTCAGCCAGGCCTGAACACCCATCTCCCCTCCTCTGCAGACACAGGCAGAGGCAGAACTCAGGTAGAGAGGAAGAACTACTGGTCACTACAGGAGACAGCCCACAGCACAAGGGCCTCCACTCATACCTGCTGACTATTCCCGAGTTCCAGTCAGTACTTGGAGGGTGGGCCTCAGACGTGAGAGGTTGGCCAGGTGCTGCCCAGGCTCTGGAGCACCCAGCCACACTTACCCTTCACATGGGCCAGCCCGACTCAATGACTAGAGGAAGCCACCCCACACCGCTGAGGCGCACACACATGCAAGCACTTGCACACACACTTATGGGCACCGGAGCACCCACCTGGCTGGTGCAGGCGCTCCACAGGTACACGCAGGTGCCCAGCCCCACACTGAGCACATTGAGAGATGACCAGTCCACCAGGTTCAGGTAGAAGTCGTCCTGCAACTCAGGTGCATCCAGAACCTTGAAGGGGATCTTGGAGATCTTGCGGGTGGGTTTCCGTGGGGACCGCAGTAACTTCTGACTGTGGGGAGAGCCCGAGACGGTGATTTTCTGTCAATCGGCCATGTGGTTATCATTACTCTTCGGCTAATGTTACCACCCCTGGTTCACATGAGCTCTCGGCACATCTTCTCCCGCTCACCTTGCCCCTCTGCATGCATGATCCCCAAACTGTGGGTGACCCCATGGACACAAGGCCCTTTGCCCTTGGGTGTTTGGCCACCCCAAGACTCAACAGCCACACCATCCTCCCTGCTTGGCACCTCCTCCAGAGAGCCCTCCCTGACTCCCCTCTCCCCCAGTCTGGACCCAAAACTTTCAGGCTGACAGTGTACCCCAGTGAGTGGTCCTAAGATTAACTGCGGCTCTCATGTACTGCCCGGCTGCTCACCCTGCCCTGTCCCCGCCCTCAAAGACCCCGAACTCACCTTTTGTTACTGACTGGCGACAAGGAGTAGGGAGACACATCATTTCCGTCATCAGGGCTCGAGCGCTTGGTACTGAGGGAATACTGGAGGGAGCGTGGACACATACCTACTGAGTGGACACTGTGGTCCCAGAGCTCAGGAACCTCAGACCCAAAGCCTGGGTGCCCTGAGCTCCTGGTGGTTGGGGGGAAGAGTGAGGCTAACCAGGAAGACCTCTAACTAGGGGTGTCCTGGGTTCCAGAAACTCAGAAAAGCAAACCAGGACCCCGCTCGGTGTGACCGCCAGCACGCTCCTGCCCCCTCACAGCCATCAGCCCCTCAGCCATCCTGAGGGACCAGAAGTCAGGCTCCTTCCAACACTGCCAGGGGCCCCCACGACCCGGGATGGCTTGGACATGCTCTTTGGGGGCGGCTCTGCTGAGGCCACTGTCCCTTCACCCTGCACCTGAGCACCTGCCCCAGTTACCTCTGTCTCAGCAGATGCCCAGGAGGGCCACAGGGCAAGTCTCGGGTTAAAGGGGCCTGGCCCTGCTTCTCCCATCCTCTCTGGGGTTCAAGGCCCCCAGCAGGGCTGCTGTGTGTGGGGGAGGAGGAGGAACCTAGGGAGGCTGAGCCTGGTCTCCTGGAGGAGCCTCCACACAGCACAGGAGGCCAGGGCTGAGGGCTGAGCCTGGATCCGTCATGGAGGAGAGGGACCTCTATCCCCGCAGGAAGCCTCGGTCAGTGTGGGCACAGCTGGCAGGCTCACCGTGAACAGGCCCTTCTTCTCGGGCGTGGAAGGCTGCAGCCTGCGGTCCTCCGTCTGCGGGTCCTGCACCTTCTCAATGCCGGCCCCTAGCAGCTCATTCTTCAGCAGGGCTGAGTAGGCCAGGCCATCTGCAGGCACCAAACACAAGGAGAGGCTGGGGTGGGACCCAGGTGAGCGGGTGAAAGAAAGAGGGTGTCTGTGGCCCTGACTCCTGACCTTTGCCATTGTCCGAGGTGGCATCCTTGGCTTTCCGGTTCTGGCTGGGAGACTTCTCATTTTCCTGCGGGAGAGGGAAGGAGCAAGAGGAAGGAGGAGTGAGCCAGAATGGCGTGGCCCCGCCCCAGGCTTCTCGCCTGACCCTCCCATTGGGGGTCCTCTGTCCTCACATTGATCCTATGGAAATTGACACTCCAGTTGGCGCCCGCTCTTGAGGGGATGAAGCGGTCCCCATGCTTGCTGGGGGAGGACACGGGGGAGTTGGTAGGTGTCAAGGTCCGCCGCATCTCTGAGACCTAAAAGGACGGCAGGGTGGGGCTGGGTGCCTCAGGGCCACAGCCTGACCCACCCACCCTGCCCGCTGCCTTCGGTCTCTAGCCACTGACACTGACCGAGGGGTTCAATCTTGGACACCCAACGGGCAGAGGTACAACATTTGGGGACATAACTCATATGTTGGACCTGTGGCAGCTTTGTGAGGCAAAAAGAGGCCAAGGAGCAATAGAGCACAGACATCAGCACACTACAAGGGGGCTTTATATTTCTAAGCGACCACAGGACCAGAAAGTTGAAAGTTTATTTCCTGAGCACTGAGAACCTGCTGCCCCACCGCCTCGATTTCCTGCACACGGGACGGATCTTCTCCCAGAGAACAACCGCCCAACCACCCGAACCGAGAGGTGAAGGTGGGCGCACAGCTTCCAGCCAACCCTCTGACCCCAACTGGATTATCTGGCGAACGTCCTTATCTGTAAGCGATCTGCTGTGGGTTGAACTGTGTCCTCCAAAAGCATAAAGTCCTAGGCTCTAAAATGAATGCCTGGTATCCTTATTAGAGTCAGAGATACCCACACAGAAGAGAAGGGAACATGAAAACGAGGCAGAGACTGAAGTGATAGATCTAAAAGCCAAGGACTGCCGGCAAAAGCAGAAGGATCTTCCCCAGACCCCTGAGCCCGGTCACGCCTGCCCCCTCAGCTCCTGGGTCCCAGTACCCTGACCCCCTCCCACATCAGCCTGGCCAACCCAGGCCAACTCTCCTGCACAGGCTGTGGGGCCGGGGCTGAACCCCAGCTGTGTGTTGCTGGGCCCTTCACTGACTGGGAAGGTGGCTCACATTCCCTCATCCCCCTGTCAGTCCTGACTACGGCCCAAGAGGAGAGCTGGTGCCCTCTGCAGGCCAGGAGGCACAGGCCCTGTAAAGAATAAGGGGCCTCCAGCAGGAGGAGGGGAGATGCACTGCAGCTCTGGTGGCTGTGGTGCCCTCATGAGGGAGTTCTGGGGGAGGATGTGTTTTTCACTTGCACAGCACCTCCCTCTTTTGCTGAGGGCAGAAGCCCTGTGGCCAACCACACCCCTCATCCCATCTCCCCACCAGCTGCACCAGGCCAGGCCAGCACTGGCAGGGGTGACCACCGGCTACTCACACACGGCATTGTATTCTCGTTCTGGATGACAATCTGCCGAAGGAGGCGCCGCTCATAGTCCTGGTCCATGGTGAGGCAGGGCAGGTACGGCTGCCGGCCAAGTCAGGCCACCAAGCTCAGCCAGCCAAGTCCGCCTGGGGCAGGAAGGGCAGGACAGCTCAGCACCAGTGGGCAGCAGCCCTCACCACCACCCGGTGACCACAGAACCCCTTTCAAGAATGCCCTACCATATGGCAGGTCCTCCCGCCCAGGAGCCCAGAGCTCAGGCGTGGCCATACCCCAGAGGCCTTGGAAGGCACAGGGAGATACAACCTGGACAAACAGGACTCCTCTGCTTCCTCTGCAGGACCTTCTGACAGGACCCTTCACTTTTGTCCTGGTTAGGGCAAGGCTGCCCCTATCCCTGACCCCCAAGGGCTTACCCCAAGTCCCCCCGCTCCTCCAACTCAGACCTCCATCTCATTGCCTTCTGACTTCAGACCCTTTGAGACCATGAGCCATCCAAGGAACCATTTCCCTGGCTCCTTGGCCCTTGCCCCCAAGAAGGAGGCATGGGGCTGGGCATGGGTTGGGGCTGTACCAGGGAGGGTCAATACACCCCCCAGGAGTCTGCCAGAGCTGACTGGGCCCCAGGCCCTATGCAGGCACTTGAGCCCCAGGGCCAGGCAGACCAGGTTGTGACCCAGGAAAACTGGCCTCCAGCTTCTACCCAGCTCCCACTGAACTCCACCCAACCTGGGAGGCCTCTCTGAGGAAGCGCAGTGAGAGATCGCCAGCAAAAGGAGGCTGGAGGACAATACTCCACAGAGGGGAGAGCAGGTCTGAGGAAGAAAGGGCTCTGGGCGTTCCAGGATGGGGCAGAGTGAGTGGCAGCCTCAGAAAGAAGGGCTGTTCTTTACGGCAGGGATGGCAAACTGGGACCCAGGGACAAACCAGGCCCACAGCCATACTCTGGCTGCTTTCAGAAGAAAACGTTTGCCAGTCCTGCCTCCCTTCAAGGCCTGCAGAGCATGGAGGGTAATGCAGGTTTCCAGGACAGAGCCTGACACAGAC